AGAGAGAGAGAGAGAGAGAGAGAGAGAGAGAGAGAGAGAGAGAGAGAGAGAGAGAGAGAGAAGGGGGGCAGAGGGTTCCGATCAGCAGCGAGGCAGAGAGAGAGGGAGAGAGAGTCACATCAAGATCGGAAGAGAGAGACATCAAGGGAACTCCCCACCTTCTGCACCCTCCTCCCTTTCCCTTCCCTTTCTCTCTGCCATGCGGATAGCGGCAGTAGGAAACCACCTCTAGTACCTTAAGATACACTTGGAAGACAATTTTCTGAAAATTTGTGTCAGGTTTCGGGTTTAGTTCCATTTGCTACCTCCAGGATTCCGGGGTCTAGCGGCTCTGGCAGGTACCCAGGATGTGACCGGAGAAAGCTTATTCAGATTCTTAGAGGGCGGGCTCCAGATCACACGTGAGAAACTGTGCCAACTAGCGCTTACTACTTGCCTGGTGTTTGATTTTCACTGCAGCCAACCGAGCCGAAAGGTTCTCGCTTTGCTCCACGCTCGTCGTTCCAACAAGCACTGGCCGCCCCAGCTTGTGCATTCTTGCAACCTCAACGACCACAGCCTTCCATTTTCCTTCCTCTGTTCGAAAGACAACATCTGACTCATCCTTAACACAGAAGACAACAAAAAAAAAGGGGCTTCAGCATGGACAATCCAATGGCTATTTTTGAGCAGTCCTGGAATTCGTCCAGAAAATGGGACACTGAAGGCAATGAGAAGCGCACATGCAAAAACTCGCCGGAAGGACAAAGAAATACCATTGTGCTCAGGGTTGCATACCTGCTGACAGCCGACCCCGACCGCCGACCGTTTTGCAGCTGACCAGTACGGCCGACCGGTCGGCGTCTGCCGACCAGTCAGATAACAGCCATCCACTGATTTTTTCAAATCTGAGTTGGGGGCTGTACAGCGCTTGCTGAGTACAGCCCTTATCAGCTGAGAAACTTTTGGGGATTTGGGAGGGAGAGTATGTGTGTGTGCACAAGGCTTTTGGGGGGGGGGGGGGGGGGGAGGGGAGTATAGAAGGGGGATATGAGGGTGTTGGGGGGTGTATGCATTGGTGGGGTTATTGGGCATTCTGGACCCAATATCTATATATCGTCACAAACATATTGTCACATCACTACAAACTAAAAGAGCGCACTTTGCGGAACAAAGAATAAAAGCAAAAAACGGGCACAGTGATAACATGCAAAAATAAAAA